GAAAAAAATTTGATAAATTTGATCAACATGATTATCAAATTTTACACAAATTTATAGATATTGTTGATGAAAAAAACAATATAATAAGGGATTGATTGGCTCATTTGAATGATGAAAGAGAAAAGCGGTAAGCAATTTTATTTTTTCTCAATTCCAATTATTGTATTTAAAAAAAAAACTAGTTCAGGATTTATTAATCAGGAATTAATTGAAACGGTGTCTATGACTTTAACAGAAGTTTTTGTCATCTTTATTTTTTAACATGGGTCTGATGATGACATTAAAGTTGACAAGTATTAATTTATAAAAGATTTTTTTATTCCGCATTTATTTATTTGTCAACATATCAATCAAAAAAGTACAGAAGGAATAATAAATTTTATTACGTGATTACTATTAAAAAACTATATACAACAAAATTTTTTTGAACTTGAAAATGCAAGTTTTACACTCGAGCCTGCTCAATTTGGGTGTCTATTCGAATAAAACAAATAAAACAAATAATTCGAATAAGATGATTTAATATTAAACGTTTTTGCAACTCGTTGAAACGTGATTTTAAATGCAATTTCTTATCCACATCATTCAAACACCATCATTTTTAAATCAACAGTAAATTGAAAGGTTTTCCAAGTCAATTATTATTTAACTCATTTATAAATACATTACATCTTGTTTAAATGAAAATTATCTTTTTGGTCAATTAGTTTATAATAACAAAATTAATATACCTTTTTGAAATTAAAAATGAATGTTATAATGCACATTTAACATAATAATAATATCATTAATAAAGAATTCTCATCAGAGTGATGTTATACTACAAATGGTGTTTCCACCATTAAGTGAAATAAGAGAAAATCAACAATCAACAAATGCAAGGAAAAAGAAAAAACTCCAATTCAAAGTGTTTCTCTGCTCCAGAACAATAATTAAAAGTGTAAAATACTGTATTTATTATTTCAAAACATTATTGTATATAACAAAGTTTTAAGTATAAAAATATAATAAGTTTATAGTGGGGACTAAATTAATCATCCATTGATGTTTCAACATCTTTTCTCTTATTATTAGAATCTAATTAATTAATTAAACAAGAATAAAAAAGATTGTTAGTAATAAATAAATTAACAATTAATAATCTAATTAACAAAATTTGTATTTATTTACCATTGTTAAAATCAATGTTTAAGAGAATAGAGTTAATATCAAGATTATTTAATGAACTGTTGTTACTTGTATAACTTTTTAAACTTTTTGACTTGGTAATTTCATCATCTAAATATTCTATTTTTATGATATGCATCTGGATGTGATTTGTGTACTTGTTGTGAATTACTACTGCTGCTGCTGCCATCATTATTAAAAACAATTTTTTGTTTTTTAATTTTAGTAAATTTGAATAATCTTTTTATTAAACTATTACTGTTACTATTATTATTTTTCAAACTTTCATTTTTAAAAATTTCTTCTAGTTTATTGCGAGCGAATTCCCAAAGTTCTCTACTAGTTGGTCTTTTAGATGGATCCACATCCC